CCCCAAAACCCCAAAACCCCAAAACCCCTTGATAAAACATTTATATTTCAAAAGAATTATAATTAATCAAATATCGCAATTTGCCAAAAATATCAAGAGTTCATCATCTGTTTCATTAGTTATTGTGAATTCTATTTAGGGTAGAATGTAATATGCATTGAATTCTTCTACTTAAAACTTGCCATATTCATCAATCGAGCATGACCCAAATCCCTTGATAACAAAAGCAAAGGTAAAGCTTGTAAACTTCAATTGCTCTTACTTACCATTATTGTTGAGTTTGATTCTGAATACTCTAAATTCTTCATAGGTAGATTTATACTCAGTGATGTTGGGGCTGATTTATATTGGATTAATAATTGCTGTTTATTTATCAATATCATATTTTAGCATCTGGGATAATGTTTCGACATCTTTAAGCTTAGGAGTAAGTCCACCTCTAACAACATTGTCTGAATTAATCATGCATTCTATTATATCACCTTGGACATAGGCATGGGGCTCGTCTGGTCTCATAATGATTGCTTCTCCTTCCTCCAATATGACAGCACTCAAAAAGAAAACAAACAAGATTCCAATATCTTTGTAACCATACTATTCAACTAAAGTCAAAGTTAGTTTTTAATGAAGACTTCTCTCGTCTTCTTTCAATTCATTAATGTCTTGAGCTAACTTTCTGATGATTTATTCAAGGAAGTCAGGTCTCTTATCTAATTCAAAGAACAGATAACTCACATATTTTCTAATTTGATCCTAAGATACTTCTGATGATTCCTTATTATAATCAAGTGCTTCTGCCAAAGCTCTGTTTTAAGCTAAGTTAGCTTCAATAGTTGCTTTATTGGCAAATCCACAGTAAGCGATGAACTTTTAATCTCCACCTAGTGAAATAGCGATTTCAGGTTTATGATTTGGGTCCTTATAGATGTCTGGTCTTTCTGCATGTAGTTTTTGAGCAAGAGTCTTGTTTGGATGAGCTTAAACACTCAATGCCTTACTTATAGCTAGAGTTTTTAGTAAAAAAATCGAGTTAAGCTAAGAATTCTCAGCTCCTTAATAGAATTTGTCAAGGTATGCTTGGCCCAAGAATTTCTAAGGATTTTACCTGAATAACTAGTCTATAGATAGCTCCTTTCCATGATGATGTTTGATGAAATCTGCGTTATCTATAATATGCAAAAGTTGTTCATCATGCGTGTCAATAATGACTTAAGATGGACCATTCGGGTGATCCCCTATCCAAAGTTCTGCATAAGTATCCTCCTTAGCTTGATCTAGCAGCTCAGCAAAATCAGGTATCGATGGAACCTACTTAAGATAGGCTTTAGCTACGTAATTATCCAAACCTTGCTTCCCCCATGCATATGTTTATACCTTACAATGAAGTTTTATCATTTATCCCTAATTAATTAATAATTTTGAAAAGATTATATAAGCTTATTAATTAATTTAATTTCTCGATATATTAAGATAATAAGCGAGTGATATTAATAGAGATTTTAAAGATTCTATTTCAACTAGTGACATTAGTCTTTGGGGTAGGAGTTGATATTCTAGAAGAGCTATTTGCTCCTTCTTTTTTTTTTAGTTCCTATATAAATCAATAAATACAGTAACTTACCAGTCTAGATATCGTTTTGCCAAGTTGCTCAATGACTTGAGCACTTTACTCCTCGGTTTTTAGACGATTAATTTACTCCTAGTGCAGTTTTTTAACTAAAAATTTTATAAACATATCAATATCTCCATCTATGTGTATTGAAGATTAAACTTATTAAGATCCTTTTGTTAGGTGTGGATAGAATTATTAAACTGGTAAAAAGGATTCGAGACCATACTTCTTACTGAATTATTTAAACTTCTCTCTCTTCAGATTCAATTCCTCATTTTCATCGACATCTAAATATTCCTACAGCTCTTTGTTTGATATCTCACCAAGCTAATTGTGATCTAAATCATTTGGATGACTATTGATGTCCTCAAAATCAACTATATTTGCATATCCTGTGTCAAAATTATTGTCTGAAAAATCATTATCATCATTTGAACCTCTTATTGCAGAATTATTTTTAAGTTATTGAAGCTTTTATCTTAGGACGCTTTTGAAATCTAGTTAAGTACTACTCAAAGCGGTTTGGTTTTATTTACCAGTGGAATGACTATTACTCTATGAGACATGCTCATCAATAATTTTCTACACAGATGATTCTCTACTCAAAAAGTCATTTTTAGATAGACTCTCATTTTACCTAATGACATCAGGACTATCAAATTAGCTAAATTTGTTATTCATTTGCTATTTAGCATTAAATTTTTTGTAGATCTTCACTTCTCTTCTAGATTGTTCCAGAGACACACTTAGTGAGCATATTGTGGCTTGCATTGATTTTAAAAGATTCTTCTTTTTAAATATTTTTTCTGTGATTGTCGTGTGTAATTAATTTAATTGAGCTATTTGAACTGACTGCTCAGTTTCTTTTAATCTCAATATTTTCATTGTTTCTTCTTGCTCTTAATACTTATTCTTGTAGAAATTTTTCTCATTTTAAGATTCTCTAACCTTGAATTCCATTTCAGCAACCTTTTATTTTAAAACATCTAAATACTGCATAAATTGCTATCTAAACTACTCATCTCCTCTTGAAGCTATATTTTGCACGATACTTTAGTCAATGACTCACCTCATGTCAGTTTATTGCTAGCCCTAGCTATTTATTGCCTAGGAAGTTGTCTAGGATTATTAAAGGATAGGAGTTCTGCTTCTGTTACTAATTAATATCTTTTAAGCTAAATCATTACTTTATGTACTTTGTCTTTTGTGGAAGATTGGAGGAGGCTAATTTGCAACTATATCCTTGCTCCTTGTCCTTGATCTAGATTAATTTATCCTTGGAATTTATTATTCTTTCGCGGGCTTGTCTTTTAAGGCTGTATTATAGGGTGAACTGCTCCTGCTTTTATTGATTTTATCATTAGATTACTTATTTACGCGTTATGTTAAAGCTTATCCAAGTATTGACATTCGCTTTTTAGATGAGGAATTTTTAGCAGCGATTTTTTGCCCAATTGAATTATTTATAAACTTAGTAAGTTTGTTTGGGGTGTAGGAATTTTAAGATTACTGTTGAGTATTCATGTTGGCTTTACTTTAATTACTTCTAATTTGAATATTATCTCTACTCTAAATTTGATCTTCAAAGCCAACATGATTTTCAAGCTTTATCTACACATTAAGCTGCCTCTGACTCTCTAATTCATGTATTTCATTGATAGAATTTCTGACTAGACTCTTAGGTGTTTGTTCATAGGCAGACTTATCAAACTGAAATTTCACTTCTTACATTTGCTATTACTAATAATTGTTACTATTTTTGTTGATTAAATTGGATTTAGTATTAGTAACCTCTCTTTAGCTCAATTGCTGCTGCTATTTCTATATTTAAGATGCCATTGTGTCAATTAATAATTTTTAATCCTGAGATCCCTAGCCCATTGTATTGCTGTTGTTTTTACTATGTTTAATCGAGCTTAAGGACATCGATTAGTTCTCTTCATTTCTACTCATTTAAATTTTCTTTTGATCATCATTCTAGGAAGCAATGCTTTTATTTACATCATTAGAGCTTGGATCTGATTACTTTCTAAAAGATTCTTTTATGGCTTATTCAATCAAATTTTAATTAATTGTATTTTGCTTTTAGTTTTGGCTTGGTTTTGTTGGTTATTATTGTGAATCTTAATATGGGGAAAGATCCTTTTTTGTTCTGCTAGGAGGAGGTTTTCTGTTTAGTTATTGAGTTAAGAACATTAAAGCTGCTCGATCAGGGGAGTCCATTGAGATAAAGTTCCTAGAATTATTTATAATTTATTAAATCTTAAATAAATTCACAAAATATTCAAGCAATAGATTAGTTATGGGGTTTTGGGGTTTTGGGGTTTTGGGG